CGACTTTTTTCGTGCGGGGCCAACCTTTGAAGATCATCCGCAAGTATTCAGCCAAAAAAAGGTCCAGCCCCTTGGACTTTATTTTTGACACCTGCGCCTCGACCTCTTTAAGTCGATGTTTCAATGTTGGTGAAGCTGAACATCGCTATTTGTACCCATTTGCAAGAACAAATGTAATTTCAGCAAAAAAACACATGTTTTGCAATTTGGGTGCGCAGTGACACATTTTTCGAATTTGTTCCTGATGTCTGACTTATGCAAATTCAGCATTATAAAATTTATAGTCGTTATATATATTTATTTCCAAAGTTAAAATCCTTGTTCCCAACTGTGTAAAGTCATGTACAGAGCCATACCCCCTCAAACGATCATGGGTTATTTTTTTCCTGGGGTTTGACGTAGATGTATGTTCTAGTGAAATCACACCCCATGGAAATTATTTTCCTGTTGCCGGACATTTGTACACCAAAGGAAAATAATTTTGAAATATTTTGAACCAATTTTTTCCTGGGTTCCAACTGACGCATGGATGTAGCATATGCAAATCGGTGATTTCAAAATTACTAATTTTGGTAGTGGACCCCCAGGGAAAATGCATCACCAGATGGGGGCTATATATCCGCCGACCCCAGCAAGCTGCAGGGGGAGCGCGCCCGAGAAAAAGCTTTTCCAGGATTCTGATTGCGTCGATTGTTTGAAGGCCACCGGCCAGTGTATTGTTCGTATGGTGGTAGTCTTTGGCTCAAGATCTTTGCAAACCCACCCCCGAGGGCCGCATGAGCGGTCTTGCCCAAAGCGGGGGAAATGCCGTCTGCGCGGGCATTAAACGCGTAAGGTCGCCCTGCCGGGCGCTTTCCAAGAAGAACTTTTCTCGTGGCTTCAGAAAGCGACGTTAGGCAGTAGCCTCCCTTCAAATGTCCCGCAGCGCCCTTCCCAGGAGCTTTTGCTCCATTTTGCAGGCTTCTAGGCGCTTTCCAAGAACTTTTCTAGTGGCTTCAGAAAGCGACGTTAGGCAGTAGCCTCCCTTGTCCCGCAGCGCCCTTCCCAGGAGCTTTTGCTCCATTTTGCAGGCTTCTAGGCGCTTTCCAAGAACTTTTCTAGTGGCTTCAGAAAGCGACGTTAGGCAGTAGCCTCCCTTCAAATGTCCCGCAGCGCCCTTCCCAGGAGCTTTTGCTCCATTTTGCAGGCTTCTAGGCGCTTTCCAAGAACTTTTCTAGTGGCTTCAGAAAGCGACGTTAGGCAGTAGCCTCCCTCCAATGCCTCGCAGCGCCCTTCCCAGGAGCTTTTGCTCCATTTTGCAGGCTTCTAGGCGCTTTCCAAGAACTTTTCTAGTGGCTTCAGAAAGCGACGTTAGGCAGTAGCCTCCCTTCAAATGCCCGCAGCGCCCTTCCCAGGAGCTTTTGCTCCATTTTGCAGGCTTCTAGGCGCTTTCCAAGAACTTTTCTAGTGGCTTCAGAAAGCGACGTTAGGCAGTAGCCTCCCTCCAAATGTCCCGCAGCGCCCTTCCCAGGAGCTTTTGCTCCATTTTGCAGGCTTCTAGGCGCTTTCCAAGAACTTTTCTAGTGGCTTCAGAAAGCGACGTTAGGCAGTAGCCTCCCTTCAAATGTCCCGCAGCGCCCTTCCCAGGAGCTTTTGCTCCATTTTGCAGGCTTCTAAGCGCTTTCCAAGAACTTTTCTAGTGGCTTCAGAAAGCGACGTTAGGCAGTAGCCTCCCTTCAAATGTCCCGCAGCGCCCTTCCCAGGAGCTTTTGCTCCATTTTGCAGGCTTCTAGGCGCTTTCCAAGAACTTTTCTAGTGGCTTCAGAAAGCGACGTTAGGCAGTAGCCTCCCTCCAAATGTCCCGCAGCGCCCTTCCCAGGAGCTTTTGCTCCATTTTGCAGGCTTCTAGGCGCTTTCCAAGAACTTTTCTAGTGGCTTCAGAAAGCGACGTTAGGCAGTAGCCTCCTTCCAAATGCCTCGCAGCACCTTTACCAGCGGCTTTTGCAGTATTTTGCAAGCTTCACCGTTTTCACCGTGCTATGAGTCCTATGCTCATTTCTTTTCTTCGCTGTTCCAGCTGCTCCGTGGGCACTGGCGCCCCGATGGTGTCTTGTGCTGGGCGCGAATTCGCCCCGAGGCGCATGCCGACCACACCACAGTTTGGCACTGCGGGCATGTGTGCGCATGTTGTCGCGTCCCTTCACTGACTTTGCCGCTCTTGACGTAAAAGCGGTTGCCACACACGCTCCCATGGTTGATCCGCCCAGTCATAATGCTGCTTGCTACAATGCCGTCGCAAAACGGGCACCGGTACGCCAGCTTCTTGGCAGTGACGCGCCCATCGTGCACGCGAAACTGGTGTCCGCACTCGTGGCGGTGATCGACCATGCCGGAACGCACGCCGCTGCTGATGGCAACGTCACAAAAAGGACAGATGTAGTTGAATGTGATCACGCCGCGGTGTGCGTCCGACTCGTTTCCGGCGTCGGCGCCTCGTGCCGCGCTTGCTGCTGCTTCCCTGCTATTACTTACGCACGCGGGGTTGCACGTTTTGCCCGGCAACTTTGTCACACAAGGTTTGCTCTGCAAGGCGCGGTTTGTTTTTGTTGCTATCTCTCGCCAGACCTCCTCTATGATCGCTTGGTCGCGCTCCTGCTGGATGCGCTGCCGCAAACGCCGCACGCGTTGATGCGCTCGTATGGCAGCACGACATACCAACGCTAAAGACACGCACGTGTTGCAGCGTTGCGTGCCATCTCCCGCAAATGCGCGCTTCTCTTGCCAGGCAGAGAATTCAGCGCGCGGTTTTCGTTCCGCGCAGTGGCTGCACGTCCAGTGGTCGCGCATCTTGGTTGCGCATGTTCGACAGCACCGTCGCTCTGCATGTCGCGCTTTCCACGCTGCTGCGCCAAAGTCGGCCTCCGACTTCGCGAGACCGCATCGGACGCAACGCTTTTTGGTTTCGCATGTCAAACACACGCGGTAAAAGCTGCACTGTCGTTGCCGATGCTTGTCCGGAAAATTCGTCTCTGCGTGCCACCGCTTGCAGACGTTGCATTGCCACGGCGTCCCGGCATCAGCATAGGCCTTCGCGCACTCTCGACACACTCGCTCGGCATCGCTGCGTTTCCACTGCCCTGCGGTGAATGCATTGGCCGGCTTTCGCTCCGCGCAGGCACCGCACGTCCGTTCTTCGCAATATTTCGCCAATAGTGCTTTCCAGTCTATGCGTTCGCCACGCAGCTGCCGCAGTAGCAGGTCTCGGCCCAAGCCTATTCCCTTTTGGAATGGAGCTGCATCGAAGGCCCGATAGATGAACAATCGCGTGCGTCCCTGTACCCGCGTGAATGCGACATATGCAGTGAAGGGGTTACCTCCAAGACCAACACACAGGTCTGTAAGGACCCCTTCTGTGATTGTTTGGCCCTGAGCCACATGGGCGGTGATGGCGAAGGCCGGCGCCAATGGAAACTGCCTGCGCGAAACCCGCAGTTGTGGGTTTTTCCGTTGGCGATCGTTGGCGATTCCTTCTAGGCGATTGTAATGGTGGCCCCACGATGCTGGAAAAAATCCTGCAACCATTTCTGAACGCGCTCGCAGGATGGCTGGCCGCCATTCGACCATTCCACAGGCACACTCCCCATCGTCTCCGTTCCCGTTGTCGCTGCTTCCGCTGCATCGCCCTGTGCGGTCTGCACAGAAGATGTGCTTCGCGCGCATCTCATTGCCGAACCTTCTTGCACACGGTTCACCACATTCGCTGCTGGCACAAGGGCATCAAAATGGTATCCCTGGCCTGTCGACAGAGTGTGGTTGTAAACATGAAGCACAATACGCTCATAAATCATCTTGTTCCCCCAAGTAAAATCCACAGCAGAAAAAACTTGCGGGAACATGCCTGTCCTCAACTTTTGCAGTGACTGAAGGTAAAGCGGATTGGGCTTGGCATATTGCGTTCTTCAAGATGTGGAAGTACTATTGGAAATCAGAAAGATGTAGAAAGATCATTGTTTCAACATGTAAATTCTTGGTTCCTGGATAGTGGTTCCTCGCTGGAATTTTGGTTCCGGTGGTTCCAGGAACTGAGGCCTGGTTACTTGGGAGAGAGGGTCGCAGGAGTGCTTGGGTATTATATATTATATTCGACTATATCAATTATCCGCCGACCCCGCTTGCAGCAGCGGGAGCGCGTCAGAGGAGGAATTACCAGTCATTACAAGCAGCTAGGGCAAGAAGCAATAAAACAAGAAAGAAGAAGCAAGAAGCAAGAAGCGGTTACAGGCAACAAGCGGCAAGAAGCAAGAAACTAGAAGCCAGGAAGCAACAAGCCGCTGGAAGACAGGTCAGAAAGCTCGTTTTCTTGTCGATTCAGAAAGTTAGGCAGGCGGCTGGAAGACAGCTCAGAGAGCTAGTTTTCTTGTTAGGCAGTCAGAGCCGTGGCCCGCAGGCCCGGTCCGTCCCTCAAAGCCCTGCTTCTCCTGCAGCGGTTCAATTCGAAGTCCACCTTTTGTTTCGTTGGATTGCGACGTAACTTATATTATATTATATTCTATTCTATTCTGTTATATATTATATTAGAATATATCAATTATCCGCCGACCCCGCTTGCAGCAGCGGGAGCGCGTCAGAGGAGGAATTACCAGCAGCAAGGGCCAAGAAGTCATTACAAGCAGCTAGGGCAAGAAGCAAGAAAACAAGAAAGAAGAAGCAAGAAGCAAGAAGCAATTACAGGCAACAAGCGGCAAGAAGCAAGAAACAAGAAGCCAGGAAGCAACAAGTGGCTGGAAGACAGGTCAGAGAGCTAGTTTTCTTGTCGATTCAAAAAGCAACGTTAGGCAGGCGGCTGGAACACAGCTCAGAGAGCTAGTTTTCTTGTAGGTTCAGAAAGCAACATTAGGCATGCTTCTCCAGGGGTCGGCGGCAGAGGGCGTAGCCCTTTAATTAAATTATTCTGAGTAAAAAACATGTCTATTGTTTCGGCCCAAACAAAATACTCTCGTCGTGCTTATCATTCAAACAAATCAATTCTCAGTGAAGCATGCCATGCCAAAGCCACTGCTGCGCGGCAAGAATTCAAGGAAACCAAAGTGACATCTTCCAACTGAGCGCGGCACCGTGTTCAACATGGAAACTCCAAAGGCAATGAGTGGAATCCATTTGAGCTGGTCCAACAGTTCGGTGGGCAGCACGTCCACATGTTCCGGATACATGTGCTTTTCTTTCACAACCTCCTGATGATCCCAAGGATACAAACTCAGCAGTTGGAAAGCAATGACTCCGATGAACGGCATCAAAGCTTTGGGGATGAGCAGCATCCAATATCCCATGGCAAACCAGGCAGCACGAGTTCGGAAGCTGCGAACTTCTGCAGCTTCCGGCAACCGACTCAAGTCTTTCGGGCCCACCACTTGTGCTGGAACGCCACAAACTCGGCTGTCCACCACCATGTCGGAAGAAACAGCTGACAAGGGCTCCACATAGCCAGCAGGAGCAATCTCACAGCCAGGTTCCAAGGTACAGTTGGGGCCCACATAGGCACCGGCACCAACCTTCACAGCCTTCAGAACCATGCGCCTGCTGCCATAGTTCACAGCTGTCAAATGTCGAGGACCATGAACTGTTGCCATGTCGCCCACTGAAACGAGGTCATAGGCCACCACACGAGCAGTCACTACGGAAGTCAATCGAACATCAGCACCAAGAGCCCTCAAGGCGAGGTTGCGCAAAAACAGGAAAGCGATGCTGCTTCCCTGATGTGCGTTTTGCCCAACAAGGGTACCTTTTGCCATGTGTTCCACCAACCAGTGACGCAAATAGAACAAGCTGTAAATGTCATGATCACCTTCCTTGTAGCGACCAATCAGCACCCACTTCACAGCAACCAGGATGAACACCCGAACGAACTGCTCCATCGTCAGAACGGCCACAAGCAAAAGGAAGATTTGCCACAAAGGTAGGATGAAGGCCAGTGGCAGCATCACCCTTTCAGCCAGCAACAGGCGAGCTGCCACAAAGACAGGCTGCCCCAAAATGGCCAAGCCTTGTACTGTGCCACATAACTTGGGCCAGCTGTGTTCGCCAAAGCTCTCGGTTTCCTCTGCTTTGCTTTGTCCAAGGACATAGGGAGCCAGAGATGACGCCAACGACAGCAAGGATGAAGATCGAAGAAATCTTGAACGAAAGCTTTCCGCACTGCCAGCACGACCAAACTTGGGCAAGGCCTCAGGAAGTTTCGTGAAACCACCCTCTGCTGGAAGCTGTAAGACCTTGGCCTGTCTGGCAACACGGCCTGGAATGCTATCGTGCTCACAGATCAGCAGCTCAGTTCGAACCTGTGGCACTTGCTCAGGATCGCAGACCACGAGTGCAGCCGCTGCAAAGAAAATGCTCCAAGTGCTTAGGAAATCACCTGCAGTGCCTGTCTTGGTCATGTTGGAAATCCGTGCTCCTTGCACATGGGGATGCCAAGCAGAGAGTGCCTGCAACATGGTCGTGTGCGATGCAGGCACTGCACTTCGCACTCCTCCATGAACCTCCACAGCAACGCAGCACACGTCGTCAGCTTGCACTACTCTTCTTGCCTTGGGAGGCTGTGAAAGTAGGGAGTTCACAGAACTCGCGTCGACCAGACTGCACTTTCCATTGGAAGAATGGGAAGAATTGGAAGAATCACAGATCTCCGCAAGCTGCGCCCAGGTCTTTTCATCTGAGCGTGCCAAAATGAAATCAGGCTTCAAAGCCCTGATCTGTTCAGCAAAGTCCTCTCCGAGAAGGCTGAAGACACATCCTTCACGGAGAACTCCCAACATGGCACCCATCTGGTCCATGGAGTCGGTGCTACCCTTGGAGGGTTTTGCTTGATGCAGCAGACGTTGATATGCCATCATCTGCCGCTGCAGCTGCAAGTAGCTCATGGACTGTTGGTTCACCTCCAGGCAAATGGCATGTGGGTGTTCCTTCACGACCTCAAGGAAGGAATCCAGCAAAGTGTCCGTTTCTAGAATCACTTCTTCCTCTAAATCAGAGTCTGCAGACTGCTCAGAAAGGCAAGCTGCCAAGGATCGAACAGTCGGATGTTCAAAGAGCATCTGCAGATCGATCTTCTGCAAGCTGGGCTTAGATCTCATTTGGGAGATCAGCCGTCCAAAGCCTCCAGAGTCAACACCAAGATCCTCCATGAAATGCGAATCTCGGTTCCACTCATCAACACTCAGCTGTGGAGCTAGACATGCTGCGATTTCCAGCTCCAAATCCGACACTCCGGTCTTGTCGAAGGCTTCCCAACCATCCTTCTTGGGAGCTTCCAAGTTCTCCTCATCCAAGGCAACCACATTGCGCAGGAGCTTCCCAGAAGCATTGAACTTCCACGCGTCCTTCTCCACAATCTTCACTTGGCTCAGAACGTAGCCACGCCCCAGCGCTGCAGCTGTCAGCTTCAGTTCTGCCTCTGAAACACCCTGGCCAGAAGCCAAGAGAACCAAGCGCTGGCCATTGTCCAGAACACGGGCCTGGTGTCGGGAAACTTCCAAGGATGACAGATTGCAATGGGGATCCATGTCTTTTTTCAACCAGGATATCTAGATTTTCCTGTAAGTAAATAGGTAATGTCACCCCCTTTAACTTTTGACACTCACGCAAGAAAGGGGCAGGTGAACCGTCAAAGAATCTTTTACTCATGACTTTTCGCTCAAAAAATGCACCTATGTCTTCTTAAGACCGACAGAAATGATATGGACAATATATCGGAATATATCGACCATGCAAATGGCCGGCCTCGCAATGCTTCACCGTGGGCAACTCTACGATGGCTTGCTCCAAGGCTTCCAACTCAATCCGAATGCCACGCACTTTCACCTGCCAATCCACTCGACCATGGTAGTGGATCCGACCCAATTCATCGCGCGAAGCCAGATCTCCCGTGTTGTAGACACGGCCAATGCCTTGCAACTCGATGAACTTGGCCTTGGTCTTCTCTTCTTCTTCAAGGTAGCCCCGAGCCAAACCAATCCCTCCCACGAACAAAACACCTCTCTCGCCATCGGGCTTGATGTCAAGTGTCTCAGGGTCCAAGATGTAGCAAGTGTAGGTGGGCAGTTCAGCGCCAATCGTAATGATGTCACCTGGATTCACATAAGCACCTGTGCAGACCACCGAAATTTCTGAGGGTCCGTAGCTGTTGAAGAGGCGGCGACCCGGGGCCCAAGTCGATACCACATCTGCCCCCAAGGCCTCTCCTCCCACGTCCAGGATTCGAAGATGCGGAAGTCCGCTGGGAGTTCTTGAGACATCTGCTCCACCACCAGACATGGTGCGCAGGTGCGATGGCACCACGCTCATTCCAGTGATTTCTCGATCCTTCAGCCACAGCTGCATGTCAGGACCAGACTTTTTGATCATGTCAGGGCATGTCACACTGGTTGCTCTTGCTGACATTGTGCCATAGACTTCAATGATGTGCACATCCCATGACATGGAAGCAACCTGAGCAAATCGATCATGGGGACCAAGACCAACATACCTCCCCCAAATGCGCACCACGTTCAAGGCTGACTTGTGACGGATCATCACGGCCTTGGGCTTGCCAGTAGATCCACTGGTGAAAATGAGGTAGGCTAATCTGTCAAGGTCATCCTGATCATGCCTAGCAGTGCATGGCATGTTGGCTTTGCTGTCTGCCTTCTTCAAAGCCAAGTCCACATCCAGCACAATACGAGGAAAGTCTCCCAAAGTCGCAGCAATGTCTGTCAGACCAAGGCGCTTTAACACAGCGGCATTGGAAATCATGACTGGGGGGCGAGAGACTTCCACCCAACTTCGAAGCTTTTCCACTGGCTCTCCGACATCAAATGCGTTATACGCACACCTTTCGAGCATCACGGCATGTACTGCTGCGATGCTTTTGACACCTCTGTCAAGCACAATGGTCACCACATGCTCGTCTGCTCGACGTTGGTGAGCGTCTGGAGTCTCATTTGAGGAACTGGGGAGGTCCAGCGAAGCCAAAGCTTTGCGAAGAACTTTGCGGATGGAACTGGCCATACGAGCGACCTCAGGGATCAGTCTGGGAGTCTGGCATCAGTCCATGCTGCAATACAAAACGTGATCTGAATATATGTGCATTCAAACTAGCGAAAAATTGGACATAAGTTGACAAAGAATGCGTGGACTTTTGGAAGTTTGTGGTGAATTAGAGTTCGCTTTGAAACTGGAAAACAAATACAGTAGTTCCCTGAACCATGCTTGAAATGAAAGACAACATGTGTTTGCTGTCCTGGGCAAAAGTGTAACTCTCGGCTTCAACTTCCAAACACACATTGTCTGGTGTTGTTTCTGCAGCCGTCAAGAGCAGTTCGCCCAAGTTGGTCTCGACACCTGGCATGCACTGCTGTCCACGCACATCAACGAGCGAAAGCTCATCAAGGGTTGGTACAATTTCGATCGCAGTCATTGCAACTTTACAACGCAAAGCTAGAGATCGAGCTGTTTTAATGTGCCGATCGCGGCAGAATGCTGGAGCCATCATGCAACATCGAAAAGTCAATCGCAATAAACTGTGTGTGAGAAGGCTTGCACTTAGGCGCTAGCAAGACCAAGAACTCTATAACTCGAACTTATTTGCGCCTCCACATTGACAAATCGATGAACCAAGCAGCCAATCAGAAACTTCTGCTTTTGCGAGCCGGGTTCTGCCGACCAAGACATACTTGTATTTTGGAATGATGGGGCTCACGTGTGCGAGACAGATAACAAAGTTCCACAACCGACAGTGCTCTGGTCATTACCCTCAAAGCACAACCCTTCAAACCCATAGATGTCTTCTTGACGTATATAAATACTGTATATTATAATATATTGATCCTTGTTCTCTCATATTCATATACACTAAATTGTTTTTTTTCCACTAGCTTTCCTTTGTCAACGTGTCTGTGTCTGTTTGTACGAAAAGTGAACCCGGCACGTCTCGTTAGATCCGATGACTCTGGACGTAGTGATGAAATCCGTCTTTGATTCAAGCTAGAACTTCAACTTACTTAAACCATATTCATCCTGTTTTATCTCTAGATTATATCTGCTTTTCAGTTCGGCTCATTCGATTCAACATCCACTGCATTTTCCGCCATTTTTTCAAGCATCGTTGCTTCATGTTGCTTCCTTATATAACCATATTCCTTTTTCCTTTCCCGATACTGCAGAAGTCTCTGCTCGGCATCATGCATCGCTCAACCTAGACGTCAGGCTGTACAACGTCTCTTGAAACAAAATCAGGGATTGCGAGGGCGTTGATGCCACAAGAGATGAAAACGCACAAGGCGCTGTAGAGTCCTTCTGACTCAGCAAAATTGAAGCCTGGCAATTGGCAATGCCTGTCAGTGTGCCTATACAATGTGCCAGCTAGCTTCGAAAAGGATGTCGTTCATGCATGTCAAATTTAAAACCAAATTTATCCCTCTTACACGGTAAGAAGATGCAGACTATGCTCCAACTTGATCTCACTCTCTCACTCTGATCTCACTTCTTCACCACTGGCAGCTTGGCTTTGCCTTGCAGAAGGGTAGGACCAGCACCAGCCACACCCCTCTCAAGATCATCCACTGCTGCAGCAGGAGCACCCTCATACACAGTGCCAGGCTCCAAGTTACTACCCTTCCAACTGAGACTTCCTGGACGCAACACGGCACCATCTCCAGCATGACACATTGCCACACTGGCACCTGACATGATGGTCACCCGGTTGCCTACAGAGTAGTGGGTGAACTTCAAGCGAAAGTCTTCGAAGGAATGACATCTCACCTGTCCATCATAGTCCACGGTCACGTCATCACCGATTTCCGTGAACGGAGCATCCACCAGCACCAGCTCGTTCATGCAGAAAAAGCGCTTGCCCACACGTGCTCCAAGTAGTCGCAAGACAGGAGCTTGCCAGCTGGTGCCAGCCGTTTGGAACGGCAGTTTGAAGACTCGTTGCTGGGCCGTCAGTGCTGTGAACCAACGTGTGACTGTCGTGGAGTAGTACGCATTGCTGTGGGGAGTGGATCCATGGAACAACAGGTTGCCCAGGACAACTGAGAAGAGGTACCAAGATACCAGGGCAAATGCGATGTACACCAAGAGCAGTGCGAAAATCTCCCAAGTGGCAGTGATCATCGGAAACAGGAGACGGCTGGTCAGCATGGCACAAGCCGTGACACTTCCTTGCACACCACGGTAGAGGAAGACATCCAAGATGCTGGTGCTAAAATGATGCCAGAAACGTGCCAAGCAGCTGGCAGGTTCGGGACCCTGATTCACTTTGCCTGGCAAAGAGGTGACATCCAAGACTGCTTACAAACATGCAAAAACATGTAAAAATGATGCAAATTCACGTAGCCTTCACTCTAATAAACCCGATTTTTGGAAAAACATGCATGTCGAAGAATGCTTTGAAGTCCATCAAGCACACATAAATTCACCTACTCACGCTCGAAGGGATCGGAAATTGCATGAAACTTCCGTTGTCCAGACATTTTTCCCCCGAATTCGCTTTCCCATCTCTACCCGCACCACGCCTGCAGCCTGATTGCTCAGTCGACGGAACTTCATGGCAGGATTGCCAAAGTAGCCTTGGTTGGGCTGGGTAGTAGCTTTTGTTCCATTCTAAAGCAACTGCTTGTCTATATTTGTGTATGGTATTTTGCATATATTGTATCCATTTACATCAGATTTGAAGATAAAGATTTGATTTAGAGACGTAAACTCAATAATTGATACGTTCGGGGCCTTGCCACTAGGAATGAGTGTACTTGTCACTCGCATGGATCTACATTTGTGAAAGAGATTGTGTCCACTGAAAAGAAGACATGTCTGCACACATCCATTCGCACTCATGGACTTGTGCATTTGCTGATCCGCCAAGCAACTCATGTTGGGCTCAGTGGGCCTCTTCGGAAGCCAAGTACCGACACCGCAGAAGCTGCCCTCGGGCAGACCCTCCGGCAAGTGGTTGTGATTTCCAAGGAAGGTGTGATCACCTTAGACTTGCAAGATCCGATGAAGTCTTCCCAAATATGCAAAGGCTGGTGTGCTGAAGTGAATGTGATGAAACTACGAAAAAAATGGAGAAATAGTCGCTTAAAACCTCGGCTGAGGGGCTCATGTAGGTGATGCAAGGCACGTTGAACTTTCCCTGGTCCACATCCACGCTGGTCAGGATGTTGCCTGTCGCAAAAAAGCAACCTTTGCCCACCACCAACGTCTCAGGAAGCGTCACCTGCAGGGAGCAAACAAGAAAACTTCCGAATTACAAAATGTGTTCCTCATCTTTGTGGCTTCAGGACTGTGTGAGTGTGAATGCATGTGGACACTTTGAAAAAAAACTGAAGGAATATGAATATGGAGTCGTTGACTACATCTACAGCTTCAGGCTTGCTACTGCGGGTGGAAACGAAATCATGTTACTCCAAGTTCCTCTTCAAAATCCCGAACCTGCAAGCCCATGGCACATCCGTGTCCAAAGGTGGCACCACACATCCGAATAAACGCAGGCACAATGGAAGCATCCGCCAGCATTTCTGAAGCCTGCAGCACCATGGACATCTTCAAGGCTGCAATTTGTGCCCTGATGCTCAGCAACGAGTATGTGCAAGGCGGCTTCACTTTCGGCAGGACCCGGCAGAGTACGGCGGTTCCCCCAAGCTGTAGCACCTCAAAATAGGTTTCACAGTGGCTTTGGAGATGCTGCACAAATACTCTGCATATATCATTAAATTATGTCATGCTTTTTGAAAAGAAACTATCCGAGTAATTCAATTATTCTGAGTAAAAAACATGTCTATTGTTTCGGCCCAAACAAAATACTCTCGTCGTGCTTATCATTCAAACAAATCAATTCTCAGTGAAGCATGCCATGCCAAAGCCACTGCTGCTCGGCAAGAATTCGAGGAAACCAAAGTGACATCTTCCAACTGAGCGCTGCACCGTGTTCAACATGGAAACTCCAAAGGCAATGAGTGGAATCCATTTGAGCTGGTCCAACAGTTCGGTGGGCAGCACGTCCACATGTTCCGGATACATGTGCTTTTCTTTCACAACCTCCTGATGATCCCAAGGATACAAACTCAGCAGTTGGAAAGCAATGACTCCGATGAAGGGCATCAAAGCTTTGGGGATGAGCAGCATCCAATATCCCATGGCAAACCAGGCAGCACGAGTTCGAAAGCTGCGAACTTCTGCAGCTTCCGGCAACCGACTCAAGTCTTTCGGGCCCACCACTTGTGCTGGAACGCCACAAACTCGGCTGTCCACCACCATGTCGGAAGGAACAGCTGACAAGGGTTCCACATAGCCAGCAGGAGCAATCTCACAGCCAGGTTCCAAGGTACAGTTGGGGCCCACATAGGCACCGGCACCAACCTTCACAGCCTTCAGAACCATGCGCCTGCTGCCATAGTTCACAGCTGTCAAATGTCGAGGACCATGAACTGTTGCCATGTCGCCCACTGAAACGAGGTCATAGGCCACCACACGAGCAGTCACTACGGAAGTCAATCGAACATCAGCACCAAGAGCCCTCAAGGCGAGGTTGCGCAAAAACAGGAAAGCGATGCTGCTTCCCTGATGTGCGTTTTGCCCAACAAGGGTACCTTTTGCCATGTGTTCCACCAACCAGTGACGCAGATAGAACAAGCTGTAAATGTCGTGATCACCTTCCTTGTAGCGACCAATCAGCACCCACTTCACAGCAACCAGGATGAACACCCGAACGAACTGCTCCATCGTCAGAACGGCCACAAGCAAAAGGAAGATTTGCCACAAAGGTAGGATGAAGGCCAGTGGCAGCATCACCCTTTCAGCCAGCAACAGGCGAGCTGCCACAAAGACAGGCTGCCCCAAAATGGCCAAGCCTTGTACTGCGCCACATAACTTGGGCCAGCTGTGTTCCCCAAAGCTCTTGGTTTCCTCTGCTTTGCTTTGTCCAAGGACATAGGGAGCCAAAGATGACGCCAACGACAGCAAGGATGAAGATCGAAGAAATCTTGAACGAAAGCTTTCCGCACTGCCAGCACGACCAAACTTGGGCAAGGCCTCAGGAAGTTTCGTGAAACCACCCTCTGCTGGAAGCTGTAAGACCTTGGCCTGTCTGGCAACACGGCCTGGAATGCTATCGTGCTCACAGATCAGCAGCTCAGTTCGAACCTGTGGCACTTGCTCAGGATCGCAGACCACGAGTGCAGCCGCTGCAAAGAAAATGCTCCAAGTGCTTAGGAAATCACCTGCAGTGCCTGTCTTGGTCATGTTGGAAATGCGTGCTCCTTGCACATGGGGATGCCAAGCAGAGAGTGCCTGCAACATGGTCGTGTGCGATGCAGGCACTGCACTTCGCACTCCTCCATGAACCTCCACAGCAACGCAGCACACGTCGTCAGCTTGCACTACTCTTCTTGCCTTGGGAGGCTGTGAAAGTAGGGAGTTCACAGAACTCACGTCGACCAGCCTGCACTTTCCATTGGAAGAATGGGAAGAACTGGAAGAATCACAGATCTCCGCAAGCTGCGCCCAGGTCTTTTCATCTGAGCGTGCCAAAATGAAATCAGGCTTCAAAGCCCTGATCTGTTCAGCAAAGTCCTCTCCGAGAAGGCTGAAGACACATCCTTCACGGAGAACTCCCAACATGGCACCCATCTGGTCCATGGAGTCAAGGAAAATGGCCACGGTGCTACCCTTGGAGGGTTTTGCTTGATGCAGCAGACGTTGATATGCCATCATCTGCCGCTGCAGCTGCAAGTAGCTCATGGACTGTTGGTTCACCTCCAGGCAAATGGCATGTGGGTGTTCCTTCACGACCTCAAGGAAGGAATCCAGCAAAGTGTTCGTTTCTAGAATCACTTCTTCCTCTGAATCAGAGTCTGCAGACTGCTCAGAAAGGCAAGCTGCCAAGGATCGAACAGTGGGATGTTCAAAGAGCATCTGCAGATCGATCTTCTGCAAGCTGGGCTTGGATCTCATTTGGGAGATCAGCCGTCCAAAGCCTCCAGAGTCAACACCAAGATCCTCCATGAAATGCGAATCTCGGTTCCACTCATCAACACTCAACTGTGGAGCTAGACATGCTGCGATTTCCAGCTCCAAATCCGGCACTCCGGTCTTGTCGAAGGCTTCCCAACCATCCTTCTTGGGAGCTTCCAAGTTCTCCTCATCCAAGGCAACCACATTGCGCAGGAGCTTCCCAGAAGCATTGAACTTCCACGCCTCATTCTCCACAATCTTCACTTGGCTCAGAACGTAGCCACGCCCCAGCGCTGCAGCTGTCAGCTTCAGTTCTGCCTCTGAAACATCCTGGCCAGAAGCCAAGAGAACCAAGCGCTGGCCATTGTCCAGAACACGGGCCTGGGGTCGGGAAACTTCCAAGGATGACAGATTGCAATGGGATCCATGGGGTTTTTAAACCAGGATATCTAGATTTTCCTGCAAGTAAATAGTGAATGTCAACTTTTGACACTCGCGCAAGCAAGGGGCAGGTGAACCGTCAAAGAATCTTTTACTCATGACTTTTCGCTCAAAAAATGTTATGTTTTCTTAAGACCGAGAGAAATGATATGGGCAATATATCGGAATATATCGACCATGCAAACGGCCGGCCTCGCAATGCTTCACCGTGGGCAACTCTACGATGGCTTGCTCCAAGGCTTCCAACTCAATCCGAATGCCACGCACTTTCACCTGCCAATCCACTCGACCATGGTAGTGGATCCGACCCAATTCATCGCGCGAAGCCAGATCTCCCGTGTTGTAGACACGGCCAATGCCTTGCAACTCGATGAATTTGGCCTTGGTCTTCTCTTCTTCTTCAAGGTAGCCACGAGCCAAACCAATCCCTCCCACGAACAAAACACCTCTCTCGCCATCGGGCTTGATGTCAAGTGTCTCAGGGTCCAAGATGTAGCAAGTGTAGGTGGGCAGTTCAGCGCCAATCGTAATGATGTCACCTGGATTCACATAAGCACCTGTGCAGACCACTGAAATTTCTGAGGGTCCGTAGCTGTTGAAGAGGCGGCGACCCGGGGCCCAAGTCGATACCACATCTGCCCCCAAGGCCTCTCCTCCCACGTCCAGGATTCGAAGATGCGGAAGTCCGCTGGGAGTTCTTGAGACATCTGCTCCACCACCAGACATGGTGCGCAGGTGCGATGGCACCACGCTCATTCCAGTGATTTCTCGATCCTTCAGCCACAGCTGCATGTCAGGACCAGACTTTTTGATCATGTCAGGGCATGTCACACTGGTTGCTCTTGCTGACATTGTGCCATAGACTTCAATGATGTGCACATCCCATGACATGGAAGCAACCTGAGCAAATCGATCATGAGGACCAAGACCAACATACCTCCCCCAAATGCGCACCACGTTCAAGGCTGACTTGTGACGGATCATCACGGCCTTGGGCTTGCCAGTAGATCCACTGGTGAAAATGAGGTAGGCTAATCTGTCAAGGTCATCCTGATCGTGCTTAGCAGTGCATGGCATGTTGGCGCTGTCTGCCTTCTTCAAAGCCAAGTCCACATCCAGCACAATACGAGGAAAGTCTCCCAAAGTCGCAGCAATGTCTGTCAGACCAAGGCGCTTTAACACAGCGGCATTGGAAATCATGACTGGGGGGCGAGAGACTTCCACCCAACTTCGAAGCTTTTCCACTGGCTCTCCGACATCAAATGCGTTGTACGCACACCTTTCGAGCATCACGGCATGTACTGCTGCGATGCTTTTGACACCTCTGTCAAGCACAATGGTCACCACATGCTCGTCTGCTCGACGTTGGTGAGCGTCTGGAGTCTCATTTGAGGAACTGGGGAGGTCCAGCGAAGCCAAAGCTTTGCGAAGAACTTTGCGGATGGAACTGGCCATACGAGCGACCTCAGGGATCAGTCCAACATCAGGCCATGCTTGCGAAGCGTGAGATACATGCGAACATAAGTGCTTGAAACCAGTTGGCATAGTTTGGCAGAGAATGCGTTTACCTCTGGAAATGTGTATTCAATTACTGTAGAGTTTGCTTTTTGAAACCGGAGGAAAAAAGTTGAGGAATTGTGACGAATTCATTATTTGAAAGTACAAAGAGATTGAAATTGAAATGTTTGCCTCGCCTGGGCAAAAGTGTAACTTTCGGCTTCAACTTCCAAACACACATTGTCTGGTGTTGTTTCTGCAGCCGTCAAGAGCAATTCACCCAAGTTGGTTTCGACACCTGGCATGCACTGCTGTCCACGCACATCAACGAGCGAAAGCTCATCAAGGGTTGGTACAACTTCGATCGCAGTCATTGCAACTTTACAACGCAAAGCTAGAGATCGAGCTGATTTAATGTGCGGATCGCGGCAGAAGGCTGGAGCCACCGTCACACACCACAAAGGAAATTGATTTGTGTTTCTTGACAGGCGGAATGATAATGTTTCAATTTATACCCCTTGGTCTTGTCCCTTAATCGTATCCACGCTGCAATGCACGAACCTCAACTTTTCTGCATGCCATCACACAAGTGCAGGTCTCTCTTTCTTGTGAGGTATACAACTGGTTTCAATTTCATGCCTTACTCTTCTAGATAAGTCATATACAAAACGTATAAAATATCGTAATTCCAAGGAAACTCATGAAGCAAACAGCTCTGAGCACCAGGTGCCCTGAATGATTGCCAAAGATTTGCTGCAGTTTTTACCCAAATCGTCCGGTCAGCTGTCTTTTTGCCACAGTCCTGCCGGAACATGCGCCTAGTGTAGGAGCAACAAACGCCAAATGTTGATTGATTTGCTTTCACAGTTTTTGCATGAATTTGATTACTTGAATAATCTTAAATATCGTGGAAGTTCATTGTTTCATGATATTTCGCTACTAGTCTTGGATAGCGGACATGAGAGGCTCTGAGTGACCGACTTCTCATCTAGTGCCAGTTCAGGTGTGAGCATTGGGGAATCTGACTAAAGAGTCTATACGTTTTTCAATCATGTTTTCACTGCATCTCATGCACATGGATTTGCTGAACGTTTGCTTCCAGTTATTCGCTTTAGCCCTCATTTACTACCCATCATGAATCCATAATGCGAAGCGGGCAGCGACACTATTTTGAACCTCAGGGGCCTGAAGTATGCACATCAGTTTATGTGCTATGGATGAGTCTTTGTACACTTCTCGTTTCGATTTGTGTGTGTCATCCACTGGCGTTTCTCTGAATGTCCACCTGCGTCCATACCTGAATGCATACTGCATGGCATAACTGAAGGTGCATATAGGAGTAAAAATCTTTCTCACTCCTCCTTGGAATGCTGTAGCCTTTAGCTCTGCATTCCACCACTGCATTGCGTCTTCTTTCCAGCATTTGTATCTGAAAAAACACATTTCACACATAACTGTACATTCCTGACACCGTTTGGTAGTGGTCGGCGGTGTCCCAACGATTTTGATCCACTGCTTTCTGATGTAGACTATCAAAAAGCTCTGCAACTTTCTCTCGGCATCTTTCCACCATAATGGCTGAATTTTCTGTTCTCACCTCATCCAGAAATCCAAGAATTGTATGTTGAATCTCGTTTGCGTCCCACACATCGCCATTGTTCAAGCATTTCAAATGCTCTCCTTTCAGAAACTCAACAATGTCTGTCACCGTGTCTGTTTCAACGGGATCATCCATGCCATCATCCATAGGCATGTCCTCACTTTCGTTTTCATCCACAGCAACATTGTCAGTTTCATCTGCGGCTCCTTGTGGTGTAAACCTTTGTCTCACCAAACGCATGTATTCAACTGATCCAAGGGCTCTCGCACTGATCAAATTTGCTCTCTCCAATGTGGTCAAATGAACCCATTGAGCCTGGGTCAAACCACATCCATTTCTCAAAAATCCACCATGTTCCACCAGGCTATAGTGCAAACCTGATGCATAGTCGTGTGTCATTGAAACCTCATTGCTTGTTGTCTCAACTCGATCTGAAAGCATTGCATAGTCTTGTTCGATTTGGGTTTGCATTCGCTCCACCTTTGTAACCAACTCATCAATACGTTTCTCCTGTGCAGCGATGTATGCATCTTCATCTCCAACTTGGTTCCAGCAATGTTGTAAGTCACTTGACACTTTGCGCCATGCAAAATATCCCACTGTTGCAAGACCAATCCAGAGTATGAAAAGTCCAAACCACGCAAACCACAACCAAAAGTTTTCATTGCCACTTCCAGAAGCCTGAACCTGAAGACATACCTCCTCAGTGCTTGTTGCTTCTGCTCCAATGTTGAAAGTAGGCTCAAGGCCCCACATCAATGCCATACGCATGATAGCCTTCGTCATACGTTTCATTGATTGCTGTCCAACAATTCTTTCTTCAAACCTGTCAAACTCCTCCTGCCCTATCATACCCAACGTTTCGGGGTCACATGCTCCAACTTGATGAAGAAGAATGAGAAGTCTCTGCTTTGACAAGGGCTTTGTTCCTATGTCACTCACATTCCACTGGGTTGCAATCTGTCCCACTTGAACTTGCTTTTCCAAAACCAAAGTCTGCATCCACAAAATCTTTCCTGATAGGTGGCGGATTTTCCCCACTCCTTGACGTTCGATCAACTGTCTTGCAGCGGAATTGTCAACCCACTGCCACTGTTCGACCTGATCACCTGTGAGGAACTGCATGCACCTTTTCAGAAAGATTCCGTCTGAACAACCTGAAATCATTGAGTGGAGTTCTGACTCTGCTGAACTCAATGATACAACTCTTTGGGTTCGGCTTGAAGCGTATGCAAAATTGCCATTGATGAAGTGAACAGCGCAGCTTGTGCTCTTGCGGTGTGCTTTATGTGCTGACCAGTCTGCGTCTGTGAAGGTCTCAACGTTCCAAAACTTTTCACCACCCTTTTTCCACTTACCAGCTCCAAACTCCGGTAAGGTGAGCTTCATGCCCATGTCACCTGTGGCCTTGAGGTAGCCTACCAGTTTTCTCATTTTCTGCAACGCACAAACTGTAGGGCATGACATGAATGATGAAAGTTCCTTCACACAGTACATCACATCAACACGGTCTCTTGCTGCATAAAGGAGTAGACCGATGATACTGCGATAGGCTTTGCTGTCACCTTCATTCAGCAACTGAGATTTGTCATCATTCTGAATTGAGTTGTCACATGGTATCTTTTGGTGTCGGGCCACACCAAAGAACTTCTCAAAGTACGCCACGATTTTGCCAGTTGTGGTGCCTGGCACAATCAACAACCCATCTTTCACTTTCAGCAACTGTCTTTTGAGAAAGAAAATGGAACTGCCATCATCTTTGATTTCACTGAAATTCACATTGAACTTGCTTGTAACTGCCGGCAAAAACTTGTTCTCCCAGAAATCACGGCTGCCAGCAAAAAGAAGATCATCCACGTGAATCAAAAAGCAGTTGGAAACTCCTTCTGCTACGCATTTTGCAAGACAAGGCTGTTCCACGCACCAAGTACAGTTCAAAGTCTCACTGATGTATTTTCTGAAATACCAATACCATGCCTTTGCTCCAAGACGCTGGCCAGGAAGATTGCGTCGAATGACATACTGCTGGTTGTAAAGGGAAACCATCACCAGTCTTTCCTGTGGAACCTGAAGAAAGGCGTCCTTGATATCCAGGGCTGCCAAAACCACTTGGTATGGGTTACCCTTGTCATTTCCCAAACCTTCAACGCTATCCAAACTGTCTGCCAACATCTTGAGGTACAGCATTGGGATGAGGTTTGTCGAATGGCATCCACTTGCAGGACTGTAGGTATCTGGTCTGCGGTCTGTTGCAAACTCCCTTGCTACAAAACGACTTCGTCTCATCCACATCTTGACTCCACTTGGATGTTCTTTTATCCTCCAGTCATACACAAAACGTGTTGTTAAAGTGCCTGAGATTTCATCTTGGCACTCCTCCTGTCTTTGAAGAACACCCATTGAAAGAAGGCGCTGAATTTCAACCTCGTCTGCCAGCTGATCCACCCATGTTTCTGGCGAGGGTGGCTGCTTTTCCAGAGAAGCTGTTGACCACAAGGCGTCTGGCACCTCTTTGAACTCGATTTTATCTTCATCCTCCCAAAACTCAACTTCTGGGATGTTTTCGTTGACATCAAGCTCATGCTCATAGTCGTCCATTGTTGCAAACTCCTCTTCACCAAACTTGACCATTCTGATCATTGACTCATGCTGTTCCCTGATTTGAGTGATTTTCTGCTTCTTCTGAGATTCCAGCTTGGCACGTTTAAACTCATGGTCCTCCAACTCTTCCATCTCATGAGTTCTCGTGGGATGCTGCTGCCGTGGTGTTGGGGGCAGCTGCAAAGGAATCACTGGGGGTGTCACTGGTGCTGACATGCCGGGATCTTGAGAAACATCAACTTGGTTTTCCATTGAAGGCAAAAAGGAAGCATCAGCATCATCAAAAACGCTTGTAACCTCAACTTCACCTGGTCTTTTTGGTCGGTTTTGCACTGGCTGTGAGAGCTCTGAGCCAGTTGCATGTTCTTTTGGAATTGAAGCATCTTGCAATCCTTCCATTGTCTCCACTTCAAACTTCTCAGGTTCTTTGGGATGGTCTTCTTGACCCATGGAAAACGTCTCACGCTCTTCTGCCTTTTCCTCGATTTGTTTCTGTTTCACATCTTCTGCATCTTTGTCATGAAAAGAAGAGGGCAACACATTCCCTTGAGGGGCACTAAAGCTTGCAGGTTGGGCGGTAACAGCCCTTTTTGTAGGTACAACACGTCCTCCAAATCCTGCCTTGAACCTCCATGTCGGTGCATTGAAGTGTAAGAAGAAACCCAAGTGGCACTTCCAGTCAGTTGAGATACGCCTGATTGAGCGCGTCAGCATGACCGATTGTCCAGTGAAAACCACATATGTATCTTGAGCTTCAGCTTTCCCCAGCACAATGACTCGTTGCCACCTAGGATTGCCCTTCAAAGCTGTGTGCGTGTATGCAAATGCAGGTTCTGCAAACTCTGCCATCTTGCCTTTGTAGGTTTTGTGGTACACTAGCTCATAGGGCGTAACACCATGAACCACCGCAAAACGATTAAGAAGCCAGCTAGAGTGTCTCAAAGCCCAGCTCCAAAGTCCATGGTTGGTGTTCAGCTGAATTGCAAGCTTCTCCTGGACGGAGTGCATCAGGGTTCCTGCCAGTCCACGCACACGATTCACTGTGTTTTCACAAAGACTGTTCCCATGATCATAAGCAGCTGGAGTTTTGCTGTGAGTCACCAAGCCCATCATCTGTCTTGCATGAACTGCACGTTTCTGAACTTGCATGATTGCTGGTTCATTGTCACACAAAAAGGTGCATTCACTGTGGCCAAGGACTTGGGTGAATTGCAA